CAGCCAAACAAAAAAGTCACATTCATCCATACGATACATTTATATGACTTATCCAGAAAAGTGGTTGTCTGGGTCTAGCAGTGGGAGCTGAGACTGACTGCATACGGAGGGCTCTAGGAATTTTTTTCAGCTCATGAAAATGTTCTCAAACTGCACTGTGGTGATGTTTGCAAAATTCTGTAAATTTACTAAAAATTACTGAATTGTATACTTAAAACAGATGAATTTTATATGTAAATTATACCTCAAAAATGTAGTTTTTAAGAAACTCTACATGGCCCAGCTGGTGCGTCAGTGGTTGAGCGTTGACCCATGAACCAGGAAGTCACAGTCCCATTCCTGATCAAGGCACATGTGCGGGTTTTGGGTTTCAGGTTTCAGGCTTGATCCTCAGTTGGAGGTGTACAGGAGGCAGCTAATCAATGATACTTTCTCATCACTGATGTTTCTATCTCTCTCTCTCTCCCTTTCTCTCTCTGAAATAAAAAACGTATTTTTTAAAACTCTACATGAATTCTATTTATATCTTCCAAATTACTATTCCTTCAATCTCTGATAGTTTTTAAAGTGACAAAACTTATCCCTAATCCTTCCTGCTCTGCAACCTATTTTTTAATCTCCAGTAAATTTTAAAAGGTTGTGAAAGCTAATTCTCAGAAGTTTGATTCATTTCCTTTAATCTATATCAGCGGTTCTCAACCTGTGGGTCACAACCCCTTTGGGGGTCGAATGACCCTTTCACAGGGGTCGCCTAAGACCATCGGAAAACACATATATAATTTACATATTGTTTTTGTGATTAACCACTATGCTTTAATTATGTCCAATTTGTAACAATGAAAATACATCCTGCATATCAGATATTTACATTACGATTCATAACAGTAGGAACATTACAGTTATGAAGTAGCAACAAAAATAATTTTATGGTTGGGGGTCACCATAACATGAGGAACTGTATTAAAGGGTCGCGGCATTAGAAGGTTGAGAACCACTGATCTATATAATCAAGTTGGCAATTTTGATCATGAGTTTCTTTCATTCCCCAATAACCCAATGAGTTGATGTAATCAGGCAAAATGAATGATCTGATGACTCATACTATAATACTACTTTACAAAGCTGTAATAATCCTAAAGCTCCTAAGTCTTCTGAAGAAATAAAAATACCACCTGTCAAATGAGATAATTTATACATTCTCTGGTATGTACAGTATAAATCATTGTCTAACTCAGGCATGATACCCACTTTTGCATCCTAAGTTTTTAACCCTTTTTTTGCTCCCTTCACATAGACAAAAAATAATTTATATTGTGCTTCACTAGACTTGTTTTTTTCTCCTTAAAATGTCCACAAAATATACAGCACCAATCTCCTTCCTCAGCTCTCAGGAATAAAGACTTCCTCCAACTCATCTAGCCCCCAAAACATGTAACTTCTATGTGTTCTCTGTAATGAATTTACCCTCATGAAGTGAGAAATCATGAAAGACTAACACCAACAGTTGCTCTCTCTGTTGATGATCAGGCACATTCCAGAGCATTTGCCCTTCCTCTGGTTTCTGCTCCATTTCCAAGTCTCACTGCTGGCTTTCTCAAGCACCTGGCTTGGATGTGTTTGACCGGCATGGGCCCCGACGGTAGGTCATGTTCCATCAATCTTATTACCACTCAATTTTTAAAAAGAAAAAAAATGACTCTCTCAATCTGTGTTTACAGTATAAATCTTGAAATTATAAAACCACTAGAGGCCCTGTGCAAGCACTGGTGGGGTCCCTTGGCCTGGCGTGCGCCCTCTGCAATCTGGGACCTCATGAGGGATGTCGGATTGCCTGTTTCAACCCCGTTCCCACAGACCAGGCCGAGGGACCCTACCAGTGCATGAATTCGTGCACCGGGCCTCTGGTATGCATATAAGATCTTTGGTTAACATGGTAAGCACCATGTCAGTCACCGGTGACTGACACTACACTTTCCATCCGGACCGGTCAGTCACTAGTGCTGCCAGCATATCGGTGAAATCAGATATCGTGGGCTAAATGGAAAGGAAGACAAAACAGGCTTGGCACGTAACGTGTTAATCTCTTCCCACCATCTCCCCACCCCTCTCCCCTCTGAGATTCTTCAGTCTGTTCCATGTTTCCATGCCTGTGCATTGAGCATCTGCCCCCTGGTGGTCAGTGCGCATCATAGCTAACAGTCGAACAGTCAAACACTTAGCATATTAGCCTTTTATATATATAGATGTATGCATATGTAAATATACTTATAAATATAAAAATAAATGCCAAAATTTAGTGTCAGTTTTTAGGCTTTGATTTCATTCTAAGCATCTCCTTTCTTACATATTTCTAAATATTAAATTCTGGGAAAATTAGTTATAACTGAATATTCATTACATTCTTTAAAGTACATGTAGGTAGATTATATTTTTTTATAGCCAACTCTTATCTGGCCTAATGGGTCTATTTTTTTATTCTTTATTGTTGAAAGTATTACATATGTCTCCTTTTTTCCCCCTAACAGGGATCTATTTAAATTAAAAATTAAATCAGTCTATTCAACAATGTCTATCGAATACCCACTAATTAACAGGCCCTGGATATTTAGGGACACCTAGGGTACAGTTTCTGCCTTTGAGGAGTCCATAGCTGTTGAGAGAGAATGAATTACAAGTACATATAATTTAAATCAGATCAAGTGAAGTAAGTACCACAATGTATATATTTTTTATAGCTATGGAAACAGAGATTGCAACTCGGGAATAACTGAAGAAGATTTCAAAGAGTTGCTTTGACAAGGAAGTAATGCTTCAACTGAACCAAAATAGGGTAAGTAGGTAGAAATAGAATCCTGGGGAAGAGCCAAGTGAGGTGAGATATGGCTGTAGAATCATGTGAGGGCATACTGGGAGTCAGCACGCAGTCTGATTAAGTAAATAATGTTAGCTAATACTCATTGAGCACTTACTTTATGCCAAATACTATTCAACACACTTTATAATTATTAACTTATTTGATCTGCACAACAACCCTATGAGGAATTTACTATCATTCCCATTTTATAGATAACAAAACTGAGATATACAACAGTTAAGTAACCTGTTCATGGTTACACAGACAGAGCTAAAATTTATGGCGCCAGGATCTTTAAGTCCATAAGTAATAATAATAATAAAAATGATCTCATCCCTAACCACATTCATTACAAAAGTAATTAATAGGTATCTCAGCTATCCACTTTCTCATTAATTCCTAGGCCATCCTTCAGGGTTTATCTGAAATAATTTCTTCTCCACAAAGCCTTTTTTGATCCCCCCAACCAAACACAATCTCTTTCTCCTCTGGGCTTCATATCACTTTATCTGTTTCAATCTTATGACAAGCCACATTTTGTTCCCGACACTACAGATTGTATGTTTTGTTTTTTCTTATTTTTCTTTAGTCTGATCCATTTTCCATTCTCCACACTCTTAGGACAGTGCCTGATACATACTAATTCTAACTAAATTCATGAAGCACCTATTTTTGCAAGGCATTGCGCTAAGCATTTTACGGGAATTATTTCACAGAATTTTCACAGCAACCCAATTCACAGTAGCTATTTTTAGCCCCTTCTGTGACAGATAAAATACTAGATGCATGTTAAAGAAGACAAATATGGTCCCTTCAAGAACCAAGCTTACAGTCTAGATAGGTTGGTACTATTCGTATCCCCAAGTATGGATAAAAGTGAGGTTCAAAGGATTTAAATAATTTGTTTACCCAGAATCACACAGCAAAAGTGACAGGCCATAATTTAAACCCAGTTGTCAACTTTTTGAGAGGAAAGCAGAAAATGAGCAAAAATGCGTATGAATCCTGATACATAGGTGGTATAGCTCAGAACTGCTCTTGAAGCCATCAGTTGAGAAGCCCAGGTGAGCAGTTGATTTCCCTGTCTCTTAAAGTGGTCCCTCTGAGCATCAATGCTTTGCTGCACGTGGGGCGGAATCACTAATAATTAACAGCGAGGCCCTGGGCTGCATCTATCAAATATCCGAATGGAATGACATGGAAAGTAACAATGCACAATTCCTTACATGCATGTGGTTCAACTATTCTTAAAAGGTGGGTTTAACTCACACAAATGTGTGAGTCCGCACTTTCCACTGGAAGGGTGAGGAAGCTGCCACTCTAGGATTACCCTACACCAGCGGTTCTCAACCTGTGGATCGCGACCCCTTTGGGGGTCCAACGACCCTTTCACAGGGGTCGCCTAAGACCATCGGAAAACACATATATAATTACATATTGTTTTTGTGATTAATCACTATGCTTTAATTATGTTTAATTTGTAACAATGAAATTAGGGGTCACCACAACATGAGGAACTGTATTAAAGGGTCGGGGCATAAGGAAGGTTGAGAACCACTGCCCTACACAACTCAGGCGCCCTCTGGCTGTGGGCCAGAAATACCTGCCTTCTAATGGCTGAACGTTCCCCCCGACCCCAACCCCATCCACAGCCCGCTGGCCAGACGCCCTTCTCCAAAGGCCACCTTGGCAGCCGTACTGTTCGGTCTGTCGTAGCCATCTCTTCAAATAAAAGTAGCGATATCCCCAAATATTGACCTGGCAGAAAGAGGAAACCGGACGCACGAGTCTTATTCCCACAATTTCTCAGCCCAACAGGAGACCACCTGACTTGGGACCAAGTTCATTCATCACGTTAAACGGCGGAGATGACTTCCAAGGGTCAGGCCCCAGGCCCTGGGGTCTCCCCCGACAGCGCACACGGGCCGCCCTGGCTGCAGCTTACATCGACCACCGCGCCCCGCACGCCAACAGCGCTCTGCCTCTTGCTCCACAAACCCATGCGGGGGCCGCGGACCGTACGCAGCAGGCGTGTCCGGCGTAGAACGCGCGCCCCGCCTCTCGACACCCACCAATGGCCTGCGTCCCACCGCTCCGCCCCGCCTCCTTCACCCTCCTGCTGCGCCGGCGCTGAGTGCTCCAGGCCCCGCCCCCCGCCCGCCCAAGCGTGGAGCGCATGCGCCTTGAGAGATGGGCTGGGTGAGGGCTTCCTATGAGGGCAGGGGGACACGGAAATGGACGGGGTCTGCGCGCACCAGCTCGCCCTGACCCGGCAGCCGCTGGCTAACGCGTGGGGGGCGGAGCCGGGAGCGCTGGTCGCTGGGGAGGTTGAGGCCCCGGCTCCGACCCGGATCTGGAGCCGGGTCGCCGCAGCTGGCTTACCCGACCTTGTGTGTGTGTATGTACCCGCTTAGGTAGACATGGAGAACTATTTGGCTGTCGCGGCGCTGAACGGGATGGACCGGCGTTCCCTGCAGCGCTCGGCTAGGCTGGGTCAAGAAGTGCTGGAGCGGGCTAAGAGGAGGGCAGTGGACTGGCATTCTCTGGCCAAAAGCAACGTGGGGGGCATTTTCCCGGAGCGGCCCTACCGAGAAAGATGGCCCGCGGCTGGCCCCCAGCGCCTTCTCCCCGGAGAGGTGAGGGCCCCTGTGCCGGGGGGGACCAGCCCATTCATTTGCTCGGCACGGGCCACGCGGAAGCAGTTGAGGGATCTTGCTCTTGGCAAAAGCTGTGAAGTATCAGGACACTAACGGGAAAGCCCTTTGAAAACTCGCCACATTTGACAGATCATTATTGGGTAGCTTTAGGATGCTGCTCAGCCCTGGTTAGTTACTTTATTAAAAAAAATCTTTACTTGCTACCATCTGATATTAGAAGAAAGTCCGCAAACCAGTCTTTGTCCCGGGTAAATTACATGTCTATGGATTCCTTGTGGAGTTGGAATTCTTTCTCAGTAAGATCCTTCTTACTGACTTAAAGTTTCTAAGCCTTTCACAAAGTAAAAAGGAAGCTGTTCCCTAAATGACTTCACTCTCCTGGAGGGAATACCAGATCTCACCTGTGGCTTGCCATTTGTTCAAATAGAGAGAAGAAAGACGCCCAACCCTCAGTGCTTCTTTCAGAACGATGGCGGAATTCATGGACTATACTTCAAGTCAGTGTGGGGTAAGTTGGTGTAAGCTGAGGCCATGCCCCGTTCTGCCTGCTGATGGATCACAAAGTGGGTCTTCGTGGAATTTAGGGAGAATCTGGAGACTGCCAGTTCACACGGCCCCTCTGTGGGCGGATTGTAATCACTCAAGGATTTAAACCAGGCGGCAAATCCATGTTAGAATTCATTCAACAACTATGTGTTTGAATGCCTAATTCAGGTATTGTTATTGAGGATACAGCGGTGAACAAGTCAAAAAAAGTCTCTGCTCTCACTATTGTTTCAGACTAGTAGGAGGGGAAAAGCTTATTTGCTGAATTCTAAAACAATCAAATCCAACCATTTGCCGTTTTTTAACACTTTTACTGACATGGAGTCTTAAAAAAAATCAGTAGGGTCACTATAAACTGGAACTGAGCCTCTGTTTTCAAAATGTATTGAAACAAAGACTGAAACAAAATCCCTACATTAGGAATTTAACCTCTGTTTCAAGTGCCTGGTAATGTCGTCGTTAAGTAGGCCTCTGTGGTCTGTATCGCTTGGTGGCCACGAAGGGGGTTCTGTGAACAGATTAGAGGTGAGGCTTAATGGCAGGAGCAGCCTCCCAGGAGTCCTATCCAGGTTCTGCCACATCCTGACGAATGCCTTCGGCCAGTTAGTCACTCTCACCCTTCCCTTCCCCGCGGAAAAAAATGGTCTCTAAAATCCTTGCCAGCCTTTACAGTCTCTTTCTTGGTTTCCACTGAGAGACGAACATCAGAAATTTCATAAACTGTAGCATGAGGGACTTAGGATTTTTGGTACCATTCATTGAAATGGCTGAACAAGGGTTGTTAAGACCCTCTTCTCAAAGCTAAATACTAACGTCATCTTTAAGTACTTCGAGGGAATGGTGGAGGCAGGCCAGCCAGCATTCAAGGAAATCACCTGCATGGAAGGCACTCTTTATCATCTGAGAATTACAACAGATGCTGGGTCTCTTCCACCCTTAACTTCTTTATGATTCCAATGTGGTTGTAAGGATGCTGGTCTGTAAGGGAGAAGGAAGAGAATACCTTGTTTCTGTCCTGCTTTTCAATTTAATTTGTTAAGATTCCAAAAAAATCACTAATCTTTCTACATCTTGTATAAAATCCCCGTGACTCCCAAGAATGGGATTCCAGCCTATGAGATACAGTTCAGAGAATATTTTTATGTCCTTATTCTGTTAAATGGTTTTAGAAAAATTCATAACATGGGCTCTACTGTAAAGTGACCAACTTAAACTTGGGTTCATGGCTCAGTAAAAGGAATAATATTTGTCTTTGGTCTGAGGTTTAGCAAATTGGTGTTCTTCATTGTGGTTTTCGGTTCAAGTATCCATTATGGAATGGAGCCTCAGAACCCTGTGGCTTTCCGAGATAGAATTCAGAACAGTATTCTGAGTTTGCCTTCACAATGTCGAAGGAGCCCCTAAGGTACCTCATTAGACCCACGTCTTGAAATGCTTTCCCCTGCTTCTCATTCTTTTGGGCTCATGCCTTAAACGCTGACTCTACACTGTGTTCAAAACAAGCAGGCCAGTGACGTCCTCATCATTAGTCACAATCCAGGGCACCTCTAAGGTTAACTTCAAGGGGGAAAAGGAAGTAGACAAGAAAAATGTAATGGCTTTCTGATCCTTTGGATTATCCTCCTTAAATTAGAGACCCCACCCTCCTTTCCTCCACAGGGGAGAACTGACTGCATAGCTCTTGGGTTTATGTTACATTTCCTGTTGTATTTCCACATCTCAGCACCCCTCTCTTCCCTCATCCTTGTCTGAGACTTAGACAATAAACACAGAACTGTTCATTAGAACTTGTCATGAGAGGAGGTGAAAGGGCATGTGTATTTGACATGGGGGCGCAGATAAGAAAATTATTTAAGCTGGCAGAGAGCATGGCCCTGCCCAGCTTTAGTTGGCCAGAGCTCTTGCCCGACAGAGGCAGCAGATGGCAGCAAAGTGATGCCAAACGCAGTTTCCTTCTCTGCAGCCACTTGAGAGGGGCTAAGATTTGTTAGATGACCTCAGAGGCCTGGCGAGCAGGCAGGTAACTTATCTTTGCTCTTTTGTCTCCCTTCTTAACCATATCTTGCCCAAGTAACAGTTTTTTGAAAATTTATCTATTTGGTTACCCAACATCTTTCACGTTACTTCTCCAGAAATATTATTCATCTGTGCCAGAGGAAGGGGCAACCCACGTCTATCGTTATCACAGAGGGAAGTCGCAGCTGCACTTGTGCTCGGACCTCAGGAATGGCCAGGTGTGTATCCTCATGTCCTGTGCTGTGCACCCAGCCTCCCAAGGTGGGAGACCCCAGGTCTGGGAGCTCCTGCTGGATCTATATTGTTGGATGCCAGTGTGACTCAGCATTACGGTGCTCAACAGAAATGTTTCAAACCCCAGTCTTGGAGAACTTACAGCCATGAACATATCCAAAATATAAGACTGATGCCACCGTGGGATCTTCCGATGAAACTACAATCCTAGGCCACGGGATTCTTGGGCAGGTTAATGAGAAGAACTTCAGATATCCTCTTCTACATCTAGGGATAGGAAAGAGATTTTTTCATGAGCACATATTTTACTCTTAAGCTAGTGACACCTATCATGTCTTTGGTAACTTTAAAAAAGAAAGTGCAAGGAGGACGTCTCTGTAACAGAATACTTTTCCTAAAGATAACATCACAGGCCTCTCACTACAGACTTGCTTGTTTTTTCCACGCGTCATTCTGGGAGAGACAAATATTCTACTTGGGAAACTGATTCAACAGAAATCCTTCGTTGTTGTTTTTGAGGAGAGTAGATGGTTTTGTTTTTGTTTGTAAACTCCTAGTTGTACTCAAAGATACTGAACTTAAATCCAGAGTCCAATCCACAGTTGGATCTCTGAATTCCCTGGCCGGTGGGTTCAGGGAAAGGATGGAAGCGTGGCCACAGGGATACGAGTGAGAGCTGGATGCATGCTGGAAGTCCCTCTTGTTTCCCGGCCTGGGATATGAGGAGTAACACCACAGCCCGAGCCCTGGCTCCCCTTTTCTGGCCTGACGATAAGGGGGTCACATGTGAGCGAGAGTCATTCCTGTCCCTCCCATTCTTTCCTATAAATGTGAGAAATTGACTTTATCAGGTCAGCCTGTTCCCTTCTAGCGCCCCCACTCCCAAGACAAGCAGTAAATAGTCTATTTTCTGAGAGCCTGTTAAGTGTCAGGCACTTCTACACTTTAAATCTTCCTTGCAATCGAGTGCCCCCATGTTATTGATGAGGAAAGCAAGGCTGAGATAAATTATTCTGCCCTTCTCAGCAAAGAGCAGACATAGGACTCAAACTCAGGTTTATCTGACTCCACAGCCCAAGGGAGATAAAAAATAATCATGGTGAACATCTAAAAATGCCCCCACAGGATTCACTAAAAGCCTTAATAATGTAGGTGACAACTTGGAAAAATGGATGGAACAATGCTTAGTTCCTCATAAGGTAGGAGAAGATTTCTCTTTATTATCCAGAAGTCAGAGCCTGGGCACTGATGTTTCTGTTTGTTTCTCCAGAGACAAGAAACGCCCCTGGGTTTTGGAGGCGTCTGTCCAGCCACAGAGTGTACGCTAGAGGCACCCCAGCCTGTGAGTATGGAGCTCCTGGTGTCCCCGCTGGCCTCCCCACACGGCCATTTCATGAACCAGTTGACCTGGTGACTCTAGAGCTCTCTGTGCTGGGCCCGCAGTATTTTCACGTTGGGATGTTTTTATCCTTGTGGGTAGTGCACACATTGTGGTTCAGTGTACGTTTCCGTGGTAGCCTTCCCCCACTGGAAGCTTCAGGGTGCTCTGTGCCTGGACACATAGTTGTGGTTGAAAAGAATGCGAAGTATTCACATCTCAGTTCCTACAGCTCAGCTGGGCTGGCGGGTCCTGCTGGAATTCCACCATCTGTTGGAGCAGCAGGAGTGGCCTGACCCCTCTGCTTACAAAGTGAATACCATCGCTCCAATTCTGAAACATATACACTTGGTTAGATCAGGTTCCAAAACATTTGAAGGGACTTGTTCCTATTTTCCACTAATGTTTCTCTGTAAAAACATATAGGGACGAGTTTCTCATGTTTAGGATAAAGTGCTCATTAGTTTATAAACTCAGGAAATCTGGAACTGGCCAGGGCTGGAATTCTGAGGGAAGGAACTCCAGCATAGTGCTGCGATCACTTGCTTAGTTTTTGTCTGTCTACAGTGTGCTAGCCAGGATTCAGAATATACTAGAGTTTAGCAACTATGCCTATTCTGCTTCTAGTACAAATGCAAGCGGTTAGGCTTGGATGCCTCCAAAACCTGCTGGCTTTTGGTATCTCTAATCTTCCAGATGTTCACGGTGTGGGAAGCACAGATGCTGATCTTACCCCCCGATTTCCTTTTATCCAGACAAATGAGGCATCCTTGGCTTTCTGCAGTTCTGATACAGCTGTATTTTCTGAAACCTGCTTTTATTTACATAATTGATAACCAATAAATAGTTGTGGTGTTGTTCCATACATTCACATCAGTTAAATGATTATAGGCCCCTGATTTTGCAGTAACTGGGGTAAACATGAAAGGATATAACATAAAGCAGCTTTGGAAAAAATTGGCTTCAGATCTGTCTGTCATGCGGAGGGGGAGGAAGTATACAAATTGTCATTTATCCTCCTAGTGGAATCTGCTGGCTAGGGCTTGGTTTCCCCCACCGAGTGTGGTGGTGGGAATGACAGCTCTGCCTGCGGCTCCTTCTGAGCACTGAGTGAGCATGAGTGGCATCCCGGCTGAGGAATAGGAACCGGGCTCTTAATGACGGCTCTGTTCTGAGCTAAGACCCCGCTGCTGCACACCTGCCGTGACCCACTTCCCCGCCTTGCATGAAGTCTGTCATTGGAGGTTTGTGCTCAGCTCAGCTCCAAACATAAAGCTTTCCCTTTACTCCAGCCTCCAGGGTTCTTGCACCAGGGAGAACCAGTCTGTCCAGGGAGGGCTCTGCCAGCCAACTGACTTGCTGCATGACAGGAAGGAATCTACTCGTAGTATTCCCAGCTTTAGGAGAAAGGAAATGTCTCACTGTCCTAATAATGAAAAAGAATGATTCTCGCCCTGACCGGTTTGGCTCAGTGGATAGAGGGTCGACCTGCGGACTGAAAGGTCCCGGGTTCGATTCCGGCCAAGGACATGTGCCTTGGTTGCAGGCACAGCCCCAGTGGGGAGTGTGCAAGAGGCAGCTGATCGATGTTTCTCTCTCACTGATGTTTCTAACTCTCTATCCCTCTCCCTTCCTCTCTGTGAAAAATCAATAAAATAAAAAAAAGAATGATTCTCATCACTCCAAGGTGCCTTGCCATTACTGCTCACCTGTGACAAGTGCCACTGTCTGCTTTTGATCCCCAAAACAATGTCCTTAGTCTTTTCCTCTACCCAATTCTTATCTTTCTACTCCAGCTAGTTTTCCTTTTATGACTCATGTTCCTAGAACACTTGAGCATCTACAGTGTTCTTACATGTGAGGTAGGTATTACCAAAGTCTTAGAAAAAGGAAACAAGCCTAAGGAGACACAGAGACTTACCTAAAGGATAGTCCTACTGTGTGGCTGAGACTTGAAAGCGGAACCTCCATCTCCCACAGTAATGCTTTCTTCCATCCGGCCTCTGGCACACAAAGGAAACCTGGTGGAGGTGCCTGGGCATTGGGATATAAAATCTCTAACCCGCTAATATCCTCTTTCCTTCCAGGCTGAGAACATCTCTAAGGACCTCTACATAGAAGTATATCCAGGGACCTATTCTGTCACTGTGGGTGCAAATGACTTAACCAAGAAGACTCACGTGGTGGTTGTTGATTCAGGACAAAGTGTGGACTTGGTTTTCCCCATCTGATGTTGACCATCACGTTGCCTTTTTTTAAGTAGCAAGGAGAATAAAGCCACATATGATTCTGTTAATATTTATACATCAAGCCGGCCTTCCTGAGACCTGGAGCTTGTCTCTTTCAGTGCCTATTTTAACCTCAAAAGTTTTTAACCTCTACCCTCTTCTGCCTAAAAGTAATAATGATGCTGTCTGAATAGTTTTTACTGCTTACTTTCCAACTAAAGGATAATTATGATAATAAAAGGAGAGATTTATAAATAGAGAATTCCTTTTTATTGATATTAAGAGCAACAAAATGTCATTCATGTACAACTGTAGGCTTTATGAAAAGGTGGCAGAGAGGCTGTGGATACACTTGCCACGACCTGTGACTTCTGTGGAACAGCATTCTCACGCTCATCTCACCAGGCAGGGAGACCTGGCCAGGCCAACAGCACTCCTGTGGCTCTTACGACAGGTGCCTTCCTGTGCCCGTCTGCAGGGAAGTCTTAAAGGGGTGAAGATGCTGCTGCTTATGTGACTGTCATCTGTGGCCTGCACTCTACCACTGAAGGCTGTGCCAGCCACTTTGTAACTCTTCCTCAGGTATTCACTCTCCTTTGCTTCCTATAAGAGAAAGAATCCTGAGCGTCGTATGCTGACTGTATTTTAAGGATCAAAAGTCACTGATTTTAAAGAGTCATAGATGTGTCCTTAACTTTTAAGTGACCACACCAACGGTATTGTTGCACCTTTCAGTTTAGTTTAGTTATTCATCTCATTTTGAACATGTCTTTCCTCAGGAAAAAAATGCCAGCATTTTATGTGATAAATCGAAATTTTAAGTAGAGCTATGTTAGCATTCCTAGTGAGAAACAGACTCCCAGGGACATGGGGCCTAGAAAAGCAGACCCATGCCCTTCACCAAATAAGGGGTCATTTAAATGGAGATCCTTGCACCCCCAAGAAGTTTATAATGTCCTCTGTGGGTTCTGTAAGCCTTTTGAAATTATATGCAAAATTTGAGGCCCAGTGCACGAAATTCGTGCACTGGGTTAGGAGGGGGTGTCCCTCAGCCCAGCCTGCAGCCTCTCCAATCTGGGATCCCTCTCACAATCCAGGATTGCTGGTTCCCAATCGCTTGCCTGACTGCCTGCCTGATTGCTCCTAACTGCTTCTTCCTGCCAGCCTGATTGCCCCCTAACCACTGCTCTGCCAGCCTGATCGATGCCTAACTGCTCCCCTGTCAGCCCGATTGCCCCCAACTGCCCTCCACTGCCGGCCATCTTGTGATGACATGGGCATGGCAGCCATCTTGT